CCCCCGAAATTTTTTTTTGGTTTTCACGCGAAAGAAATTCACGTCAATCAATCAATCATCATCCAATTGAAAATTGTGTCAGTGAGTTTCAACGTTTCCTGCCGGGGAAGAAACCCGCATTGCCACCGCCAACGGGAGCAATGACTTCAATAATGGCCGCGTCAGAAAGCACTGTAGGCCATGCTTCCCCGCGCCGGCGCCTTTCGCTTGCAGCGCTGCGCTTGCCTCCCCTCCCCCCCCCGCTCCAATGAGGCTTCCGAGCGCTACGCGACGCGACGGCCTCCGCGTTCTCATTGGGATTCAAGTGTGAAGCACTTTCTCCCTTGCGTCCTCCTTTCCTTCCTCGATTATCATCTTTCTTTTAGTTGCCTATTCGTCTTATTTATCCACTTCGTCTTCCTTCTCGTCCATCTCTTCTTTATTCTTTCCTTTGGATTTTCTGCTTTTCTTTTTCTGTGCTTTCTCTTATTTATGATGTAGGCAATCCCAAGCTGTAACTTGTACTTGCCCATAACCATGTAGCGGAACCCCTTGGAAAGTTAGACCCATTTATTTTATCATTCGTGGCATTTACATAATAATAGCCAAAAGCTATGACGTTACATTCTCGAAATCATACTTTCAACGTGACTCAGCGAACACTCTCCGCGACAAAGTTCGATTTTCTTCGTTTCGTGAGCCATTATCCAAACATATTCATTCAGAACCGAGAAAGATATTTCGTCAAAAAGGACATTTTGTCAAAAAGCAGTTTCCGTACCTTATTGAAGATGCTGCGACTTTACTAGAAAAATATTTCCCTGTCAATGGATTTTTTGACAATGGGGATTGCATTTGTTTATTTTATTAAATCATGTGAAATGATTAATTCGAATTTTCTAAGTTGAGGGCATTTTACTTTTTCTAAATAAGGACACTGTGAACGAAGTTACAGAATGCCTTCCATTTCTTTGTCAATCGCACCAAAAAGTGGTTCCGGTGAAATGGCGATTCCAATTGTGGGATGCCGAGTAAGCGCGTTGCTACGGTCTGCCAAAAGGTTTCACGATAATTAAGCGTCTTGGGTATGCATTGGAGAACTGTCAATCAATAAATGAAAATTCTCATTTGTTCTTCATGTTGCGTATAACGCTAGAATCTACTAATCTTATTAAAAATACTAACATTAATCTGATAATATAATTTCGAGCATCCTCCCGATTGCATCGTAAACTTTTAGGCATTGCAACAAGATGAAATCGTTCATTTTTAATCTATTATTAGTACTTAAGGTTTAATGATAAGACCAAAAAAAGAATTTTCAGATGAGATATCTTCGTAAGCATTGAGAAATTAGAATACGACTTATTCAAACCCTAAATTGCAGAATTTGGTGCTATTTTGTAGTTTTAGCGGCGCGCAATTTGGTGGTTACAGATTGAGGTTAGTGGCCGGATGATAGAACTGAGTTTGAGAATATGCAGCAACGCCACATTTTGTATGGCAGGTGTCAATCTTTCGACAACTGAGTGTGTTTTTAAAATAACTCAATTTTGTCCATGTTCAAATTCTCGTAGGTCTTTCCAGATTAAAAAAACAACAAGTGGTTGTTAATGCTAGTGTTTGTTAGTGAAATTTTATGGGGAAAATTTATATAAAAGAAAATCTTAAAGAAAGAAAAACCACCAGCTCTGCTCTAAACATTGTATTCTTATAATAATTCCTGCATCATTTCTTTCGGTCTTTTTTAGCAGGTTACTACTAATAAGTAATGAAAACGTGTTGACAGTCCTTTTGCGAGGCACTAGTTTCAATACTCTACAATTATATATGTATTTCAAAAGGCTAAATAAATATAGAACGTCTCTTTTATTGTTGTTTGGCAATTGTGAAGGTTAGATATATTACAAATTCATAGAGCTTGTAATTATCAGATGCAACGTTCTTTGAAGTAACAGCGGAGCTATTCCTGTTGACCCCAAGTAACAGTGAGTTATTAAATAGCGCTAATTCCGAATGTGGACATATCAAAGGAAATTTAACCAAGTCATAAATAGCAATTCTTCTGTAAAAGACCCGTGACAAATGTTGACAAACGATTTAAGTCTTCTTTAAGATTTACTACCGATTTCATTTGCAATTTAAACAATTACTTCATATATAATATATATGATTACCTAATAAGTACGTCTTTGAAAGATATGTATAAATTCTGTAAAATGGTTATAGTCAGAATTCATATAAGTGATAAGCGGGATTGTCTTGTATGATTGAGTGTATAATTGAGTTTCAAAACAATAATTCTCGTTTGTAAGTAAGACTGTTTGTTCTATTAAGACACAAAAAACGTATTCTTGAGGGAAAATGGCATCACCTTAAGTATATACAATGTAAATTTCGTTTTTTATTTTCTCGGGAGAAGTCAATTAAGCTCTTTTTCCCCCGGGAAATGGCAATTTTCAAAGTCTTGACAACTTTATTGTTTAGTTATAAAGGTAAAATTCGTATTGATTAAAGTGAAGTAATTTGAAGAGGGATATATTTTGTTTTTAATTCAACAAAATATTTTATTTATGATTTAACAACATATTTTATTCATAATTTAACAAAATAAGTTCTCTAAAAACTCTTATAGGCAGGTACATGTAATCTCATTGACTATATTTGATCGTGTATCTGCCAAAACGCAGAGCACGATGATTTATCTACTAATCAGGAGCAAATACCACATTTGAAACTTCGTTATATGAGATTTCTCACATATGTTCGTTAGCAAAAGTGATCATCTTCTACCCATACATGCCGTATATTTTGTAACACATGAGATATTTTGTATGTGTATTCTCGTCACGTAATCTGCAACAAACTTTTTTAAATAGCTAATGGCGTGGGAATTCAACTAATTAACGAAGAGAATTGCAATATTACAATTAAAATGTTCTCGAAGTGTGACATCGCACTGTTTTCTTGCCAATTTTCGTTTTTTCCGTGCTCCGAAAAGCAGATCAAATATTTTCTTCACAGATTATTAAAAAAAATTCAAGACTACATTTCACTAGATGTGCTGTTCCTTAATAAATAAACGTAATAAGCAATAAAGCAATAAAAGATCAAGATTATCGACTCTCAATAAAATGCAATGAACTATTAAGGTTTACACGTTTATAGAAAAGATTGTGTTACGAAGCAGTGAAAACAAGATCTCGAAAGTGAGGTGTAAAATGCTACAGTTAAGTCATTACGAGAAATACATTGAGCATAATCAATTTAAAAATAACATGACTAACATAAATTATTTGATAAAAATATAAATGAATACAATCAATACCAATAAGTGAATACAATAAATAGCATAAAATGAATTCGTGCTCCTACAAATCTGAAAATATCTATCAAATACCGGTAAGGGTAGAGAAATGTGTTGTTGAGTGTTACTTGGAATGTTCGGTATTTGACTGAGCAATGACGAATGTAGAAGAGCTATCAAGTACCTGGTATGTTCAGTAAAAAAAGCTTTGTTTTCAAAATTACAATACCTGACTGTCCAAGCCGATGCACAGCAACATAAGGAAGAAGAGACAGGACCAGACGGGCGCCCCCGGCAGTTGCAGCACCGCCGACGGATAGGCCAAAAAGGCGAGACCAGGTCCTGTGCAGAAATATATGAATTTTAATGAAATATACGTGTGTTTCCAATACAACATGTACATTATTAGTATTACTAATCAATATTAATTATTTCGTATGCGCAGAAATAGGGAGAAAACTAAGCTAATTTACACAGCTAGAAATTCAGGCGAAAGTCAAAAAGAATGAGACACTTTTGATTTACACTAAAAAATGGAAAAAGTGACTACGTTATTCCATCTATTCCCAAACTGTAAGGATCATCTTAGGTCGCAGCTGTCGTCACGCGACGAGGCCACGAAGAAGAGTCCGCTCTTTTAAATGTTAGCTATCCACATTTACATTACGCAAAAGCAACTTTGTGATATTCTTGATACTCTTACTTCTTATCTAAAGAATCGTTGCACTTTATAAATACTATACTAAGTAGTTGCAGATGTGAAGACTGGTTTTGTTGAAGTACGTCATTTATAGCAGTATTCTACGCATGCTATTATTTGTTGTTCTTGAGCATTGCGCATGTTACTTTTTAGAAAAAGTGCTTCGTTTTTGCAGCAACAAAAGCAACGGAGAATCGTCGCTTCACTACCCGACATTTACGCAATTCCTGGAAGTAGTTCTCGAGTCTTTAGAGACAACCATGAGCTATTTATGCGTATTTAGTGCCAGGAGTAGTATTCCGCAAATAATTGACAAATAATTAATTCCAAGAGTAGAAAAAACATTATTGCTCTTCGCAGATGAACCAAGCTATGCTCTACGCACTTCGGTTCGCCTATGGTCATTTATTTCCACTCATATTAAAACTGAGTCTTCCATTGTGGTCTTGAGTTCACAAGTCACGCTGTAGTCCATGTGTTTTTCGTAGCACGTTTAATGGGAAAACAAAATCACTGCAAAATCGCAAGCCTCCATGTATATTAGTTCAAGAGGGTATTTGCTCTTGCATTATTCCTTGACTTCCGGTGTTTGTTTTGCGCTTTTTTATTACTCTATCAACGTTATTATGAATTTAGATTTCGGTCACAGCTTATATTAAATACGTTAAAATGGCGAAAAGTTGCATTAAATTTATTCTGAGTTTAGATGACAATGTTTGAAACGAATTGTCAATAAATTGCTAAGACACGAATCGCCAAACTGAGGCCTAAAGGAAGTGCCGTATATGTAATCTTCGAAGAAAGTCGAAAGAAATATACTAAATTAAAATGACACATTATTCGAATCATATTGAGGTACATTTTTTAATTCTATTATATTACGTTTATCTGTTAGGTATATCTTCTGGATGTAATGTTATTGTTGTATTATCTTAAAATAAACATTTATTAGCAATTAAAAAATACAGTCACGTTTTATTAAAGAAGAGGACAGGATATCCGTGTATGCCCCGTTAGTTTACAATGCATGCAGCTTACAATGCAGATGGAATGCACCGTTTGATTACGATGTCGTCCGACCCTCGGATGTACATTCTACTTAACTACTCATGTTGATAAAGCTCAATTATTGCAGGATTCTGAAAGGAAATCATCAAAGGAGCCGATCCTGGTTTTTGAAGGAGTTCAGTTTTGATAGTTCGTAACTCGCTTTATGTCGACTTGCCAACTACGGCAACAAAGTTGCCCGTGCAAAATTTTCATGCGGTAATATTTTCATTAGTGTTGTTGGAGAGATACCAGAAATTCATCATTTGTTTTTTATCGAATTCCGCAGAATAACATGAATTGTAATGTTTGTTTGCCCATCGGTTTGCATTTTTCAAAAGATAATAAATAAAAATCTGAAGATAAAAGAAACATCATTTCTGCTGGAAACCATGCGCTGCTTTTTATTGAACTTCTCAAAGACAATTCAAAGGCCTTAACTAATGACAACTGTTTGAAATGTATCTTCAGGAGTGAAGGTGAGGCGTAGATGCGGCTGAAAATATTAATCACAATATAGATATCACGAAGTATTGTATTGTTAAAGAGTAAAATATTCTCATGAGAAATTAGTTTTGGTCACATCTCAGGTATGGCATTTCAACTTGCATTTGACGCAATTTTTCAGGAATAATTGAAATAAGAAATGAATCTAATGCTATAAAAATTAACTATGATATATACATACGTATTCGTATTGTCTTCTATTGTTATTAGTAATGTATAAAAGTATGAACAGTGAGCATATACAATTTATAATGCAATAGTTAAGAATGAAATTCAAAAGGGTCAAAACTAGAATCAAACCCTTTGTAACTGATTTAAGTGAGAATAATTTACAGCGATTAATCGCGTTAATGTATCTAGAGGTTTGGATATCTAGAAAACCGTCAGCAATGTTACCCATAGAAATACTGGTCATCACCTGAAGTGATGAAATAAATTTATCCCTATTAAGTTTCCGCTTTCGTCCGGTTCGTTTTGTAAAGTAGCTAGATGAATGAATGACTCATGAAAAATGACTGATGAAAATTTTTCTGTGAAGATATGATACATACTTCACTGAATTCATTTCGCCAAAGCGTGCGTCGTAAGAAGTATACATTTCATAAGAGATGGGTTTGAAGTGAACAAAGTGAAAGTTTGATATCCATGATAAATTATATAACATGACTTGCCTATGTCATTACTTGACGTCTCCGAAATGAACGGAAATAGTGAGTGGTTAATAAATCAAATTATAGAGCATACTCAGCAAAATAACTTGACTAAACCCGACGCCGTGAGAGCGAGAAAATGCCGAGTATTACTTTCGTACGAATATGAGAATCTTGATACGCTACAGAAAGACTGAGTGGAGAAATGATTCCTCTCAATCATGTTTCTGTCTGAACACTAACGTCTTTCAAGTTAAATAATTTGTCATTTAGACCATTAGGCAAACCGCCCTTAGTGGCTCGTTGGTTAGCTTGCTCGCTTTCCACGGAGCATGTCCGGGTTCCGTTCCTGGACGGGGCAAAATGCTTTTGCGCTTTCCTTACGAATGTCCCAGTACCTATTGCTGTGTGACAAACAGAAAGCCCAACTTCGTGCTAACCGCACAAACCTCTTATCCCATGGCCGACAGGCTGGGTCTCCGTTGGTCGGCCAAGTCAGTCGAGCCATATGACATGGCAGTCCATTGAATAAAGACATGGAAATCTCACTATAAATTTACAGTATAAAACACTATATTTTTCACTAAATCGTGCAAATCATGAACGAAACAAAAATAAAATTTAATATGTAGGAAGAGGATTCCAACATATTAAATTGGAAGATGCTTCCAAATTCAGCTATAATTGGGTTTTCCATGGTGAATGTTCTTAGTCAACGCAGTAAAATATAAGAAACGAAGAAATAACATTGAACGCAGGACACCAAGAATGACAATAACATAAATCATACTTTTAGATAGAATATGAAGTTGCCGTAGTTATTAGAAATACAGTCGGAAAAAGACAAGAAAATCCAAATCTTTCCCTCCATATATTACTTGATAACGGGAAAAGTTGGCATTGGGCAGCTCTTGAAGAATGTGTTTTCAAGCTGTTAAGCAATGGAATAATAAAACGACTGCTTTCTATGTAATTAATTTCTATTTAGTATTCACAGAGAGTGCTTCATAATTGTAACCGGATGGCGAAATACTGACAAGAAATAGTTAAGGCTGCATATGTCACTACTATTAAATGATTAATATTATTTCATCTAGGCAATATTACAATATATGATAATGATACTAGTAGGAGAGATAGCGTCACAGAATGTGACTCATTTGAACACTTTTTAAACACATAGACATTCGAAAAAAGAGATACCAAGACTACAGTGCAGATAGCGGGGCAGAGGACGCCAGACTGCTGTGAACGTGTTAAAAACAGTCGTTTTGACTGATTTGAAATATCTTTGTACAAATAGTTAACATGAATCTTTGTGTACTGTCAGTTTAAATATATTGTAATTTGATGAAAAGACTGCTGCATGCCTCGGTAGCGGAACGTTTTGCACTCGCGTCGCTCCACTCCTCCCGGCCCGGCCCGCCCCACCCCTACCTCTCCTCCCCTACGCTCCATCCCCCGTCCACCCCATCGACGACTGTTCTTCATACTTCCATGTCCTCTCCCTTTACACAACGCGCGCACACATTACCACATATGTCATCGCACTAGAGGCTTATTCCGCCTCTAGTGGGTGTCAGTTGGAGGAAATTTCTCTCAAGCTGACGTTGTAGGTCATCGCCGGCCAAGTTTCTCCACCCACGGGGAGGATGAACAACCGCCATCTCCAGTTAAAACATTACTACACTGATGGGACTTAATGACTCGTACCAGTTGATGCGCCCTCCCGTCTCGCCCCGTCCGCGGCAAGCTTCGCGCACGTGTCGGCGCCCCGCGGCCGTCCTCGCCGCCCCCCGCCCCCCCCACTCGCGGGCGCTGACTCATATCCGAAGCCGCGTGCGGGTACGAGGAAACTGTGCCTCGAAAGGAAAGTGCGGCTCGGTGATGAACAAGGGAGAAGATAAGCGGATGGATGCTCCACGTGAATGGAACCTAAACGCATGCGAGCGACATTGAACTTTACCCGCAAGAATCATCAAACTTAATATCATTTGAAGGGAGTTTATATGGAAGGGGAAATCCTCAAAGGTTTAACAAAAAGAGTTTTTCGCAATATTTTTGTTCTTTGTCTACATCGTTTACAAAATATTTAAAATAAATGCAACAAAAAATTCATTGTATTTTTTGTTTTCATTTAGATTCCTTTCTTAGGGTTTCTCCCTGTATTTAAGTTTTAAGTGTTACAAACAAAATAACCTGAAAACTGGAGTAACACGTGAAAAATGCATTTCAAATATACACTGGTATATTCAATTTCTCTTCATAATCAGCAGATTACAGAACAATTAAATATTCTACAATATAACAAATGTTAACCATCAGATAGTCGATTGAGGAGTTATTATATGCGGATTGAAAACGAATGTTTTTCACTTGCTTTAACGTAATGAATTTTACACTTGACATCGCACGAGCCATTATTCTTACGGCAAAAA